AGTGTACCTAATTCAAGACAACCAGATCTTTCAGGATGAAATATGACAAGCTGCGTGTCAGAATGCTTGCAGAAATTTGTGGGTATTTCTTTTGTGGAATACCGTGTTGCTGAAAATACAGCACCACAATTGTCCTTGTGCTTCTATCTCTCATTTATCTCACAGTTTGTATTCCACACCGGTTTGCTTGGGGATTATATACCGGTGCAGAAAAAGAATGCAACACTCATGACTTATGTAATTTAAATTTTAAACATAAATATCAAACGAAACTAAATGGCAAAGAGTCTTGTCACGTGTTTTACGTAAAACGTGATATATTGTCCAAATAAAAACCTTGTGAAATGAATATTTCTCGTATGACCTTCCTGGGTATGAACAGTTCTGGCAGCAATGGTGTGGCACTCCAGTCAGCCTGCGCCCCTCATGCCAGTCTTCTTGTGCCATTCCACCCAGCTGGCGAAGCTTGGCCAGCTCCAGCTGGCTTGAACAATCCAGCGGGCTGCATGGCGTCCACACCTGCGTTTCAAAGGTGAATAAAACACTCCATCTCACATACCTGCTGGCCCGTAGAAGATGGGCAACTTCCTGTCCCCGAGTGTCCCCCGAGCACGCACATGGTGCGCTGCGCTGCAGTCATCCTGCTGTTGTGAGCGAGATTACATGCTGTGAAAATAACTACGTAGGCAGAGGGGAAGATCCTCCTGGGCTGGTGTGGTGACTCTCAGGATGTAGACAGGCCCTCAGAGAGCTAGTTTCTCTGCACTCGTCTGCTGATTGTTGCAGCAGAACATCTCACTCTGCAGGCAGAGTCTCTAGCAGAACAAAACCTTCTATCATGCCAGTAGCAACCAGGAGATTTTCACTACTGAAGCAGGTCCTGGTCCTGGTCATAGTTTTGCTGTTCTTGCATTAATTTAAATCATGACTTTCTGGACATTTTTGGCTGTTTATACAAATTCTTATTCCTCCCATTTTTGACCAAATTGTATGACTTGAGCTTAGATATTTGTTGTTCCAAGGAAAATAGTTCTTAAACAATCAAAAAAGAGTTTGCTGAGTTTTTGAAATGGAAATAACGTTACTTCTGTGCCCAATTAACTGCTGATGTCATCATCAGCCATTGCTATCAACCGGTGAGCTTGCAGCTTGTCCCAATTGTTGCCTTGTGAGCCCTAAATTAAGTTTATCACAGACAGGATTTTGTGAATGCATTGCAGATGGAATATTAAGCCTCTTTTATCTTAAAAGATTAAATATAAGCTGGCAATAGACCAACAGCTGTATTCTTTCTATTGGTTTTAAGTCACCACAAGTTGAGAACTTCTCTCAGTAGACGTGAGTGTCTGTAGAGTAGAGTAGCAGAGTGATTGCCTTTGGTGCATAAAAGCTGTAAATAAAAAGTTCTGTCCTTCTTTAAACCTTTAAAGTATTTTTGATCATTCCATGCAGGAACTGCAGAATGCTTTTCAAAGGCCCTTCCACCACTGGTAAGATTTGTTAGAGACCTGTGCTGAATGGTGTTGACTTTGTAGGTAATGTTAGTAGAATCTTACCCTGTGCCTGAATGCTTACCAGAGGTTTTCTAGATTCCAGTTGTCCCTAAGCCCAGACTGCCTCTTGCTAACGTACATTTGGCAAATTGAGGGTCCTTGTTAGTTAAAGTCAGCAAAACTGCGTTTTTCAGTTCAAAGAACAAGATAATGAAAGCAAATGGAGATCTTTGTGATCAGGTCTTTCACGGTTTTGTAAGACTACATCTTTGCACCAGCAAGAGTAAAACAACAAGTGTTTCAAGTTTTACATTCTCCTAACTATGAATAAGGCTCTAAAAATAGCAATTGCTCAGCTAATGAGTTGTTTTTAGATTCAATGCAAACTGGTGTCTCAGTGAGAATCTGAATTCTCCGAATTCAAGGAAAATACCATTTTGGCCATCAAAAATGTTTAGTAAAGGCTATTTTAAATTGTGTGGCATTAGAATTCATTAACATTTTAAAATAAAAGTGGAGACTCCAGTTGTTTGCTTCATTGTATATAGACCTGATTAGCAATCACCAGTTGTGGTTACAACACCTGTACTCAAAGGGAGAAATAAGGAGCCTTTCAACTGACATGCTGTGAATTCCATAGTGCTTCACACAGAGTTAACCCTGATTGGAGGAGTGATGAGTCTGTCACTGACCTCACCGCAAACTTGCAGGCGCTCAACAAGTCACAGGAGGTGCTGTTTTGCTGGAAGTTGGGAAGACCATGACTGACCAATATCTAGCTTACCCCTTAGGGTAGGAATCCCAGTCATAGTTGGCAAGTGACATGACCCAGGACCGAAGCAGGAACTTCAGACAATGTAGGTCTCAGCCTCTGCTCTGAATGTGCCACGCTGGAGCTCTGGAGAAGCCCGGTATTGCATTGCCTTTGATCTGTCTTCTCAAGACAGATGGGGTGTGAGACAAGAACATCACACTGACATAATTGTTATTATTACTTTATTTAATGGAAGTCTTACCTAAGTGACTTGCATTCTGAATAACTAATGAACTGTGAAACAAATTACCAGTATGGAATTACTCCTGGACAAAAGGAGCGTATTACAATCATTTAACATTATAGACACCCAAGCTAGGTAAACAGTTATAGTGTTTAATGCCTTTAATACTTTTGCATTACATTAAGGAGTATGCTGAGACTTTTTTAGTTCACTGAAGCAGATTTATCCAATGCTTGAGCATCACAATGGTCAAGGAAAAATGGGAAACAGGCACATATTCTTTTACATTTCAGCATTCATTTCTTTTAAAAGCTTTTTTTAAAGTGAAATGTGTCACAGCTATATAGGTAACACAATTTACTGAACACTTCAGGCAATGACTTGTACTTTCTATCTCATGACGTTAATCTCTTTGCTAAGTGATTTTGTGAAACTCTTTCTTTTTTAATGCACATGTATGTCAAAAGCTGTGTCCCTCATCTGGACAAGTGGATCTGACTTGAGAGACTTGAGAGCAATAAGCATGGACCTACAGAAAGTCAGGAAGGCCGTATTCTCTGTGTCCAGGGATGTTACTTTCATATTGAGCTTGAGTTGTGTGGATCTTTTGTATCTGGGAGATTCCAAATCTCATTTGTATAAGATTGACTGAAACGTTGCACTGGCCTTCAGAAAACCAAGAATAAGTAGCTCTGACTGTAATGGGTGATGCAACTGGAAGAAAGACAGTCTTTTTGGAAATTTTTAAAAGTGTTTGAGTATACAAATGGTGCCAGATGAGATGAGGTTTTGGCAATATATTTAAGTGAGGCTTCTTTTTCTGCATGTACAATATACAGCAAAGGCATGTTTGAGCTTTTGGCTACCACTAACATTTTGTACCACCCACAGCCCAATTAGACTTAATTCAGGCTATTTATTCACAGCACACAAAGGACAGTAAGACTGCCCTGGAGTGAACTTTGAATTTCCGGAAACACCCAGTTTCTGTATGTCTCTCTTTTGTGACTTACAGTCTTTGCTCAGGAAAATGCTCTGAATCGCAGAATGTGGGTTTTGCTAGCAGGCTTACCTGTGGGTTCAAGAGTGAAGATAATCCAGCCAATTTTGATTTGAATCAGGACAGTTCACCATATTATTGGTTCTCTGTGTGTGAATAATGGGCCACTGTCAAAGACATCATATTGCAACATTCAACTGGTATGCAGAGATAAAAACAATAGAGAACACGGGTCTCCAATCAGATAACTGACAGAAAGGGCCACCTTCATAATATCCTCATACTACTGCTTTGATATACAGAGAGAGGCTCTGTGTGATCGTTTTTCAGAGCAAAAAAAAACAGGGGATGGGGGTTTTCAATTTCACATTGCATGATTCTCTCTGCTACTTTATGTTTTTCAGTTTTCGAAAACAGTCATTTTTAAGCTTCTGTGGCCACTTACTTTTTGTGACATTTGTTCACATCAAGGTGATGGGTTTGAGGGGCATTTAGAAAGTGTAACTGGATTTGTTATCTTGCTGTTCCTTGAGGCTCATTGTTGTGGCTAGCCTGCGACTTGGGTTCCTGAATGAGAGAAAGTGTCTAACCCTGATACTTCCTGCGCAGAGCGTAGCTCGCGATGACAGGGGATGTTGCCGTGGCAGCATGCATCTTTGTGTGAAAGGCAGGTGGTGTCGAGAGCACCTGGCAGTCTGTCAATGAACCTGGTGCTGCGGTTGCATATTTTAACGAGGGACGATAAAGACACAATCAGATCAGAGGCTCTTACAGCTGTTTGTGGGACTTAATTTTAACTTTTTTTTTGCTGTTGTTATTGACATGTTTTCTATGTAAAGAATCAAAACTAAAAAACGACTAAACTATATTAGTTATGTAAAATACTCTTACCTTAGAATATTCCGTATCTTCTAACCTTAACCTCAATTGGAAAAGGTACTCAGCTGAGCACATGTTGAGTTCTATGATTGTGGGTATGAATATGGTCCGTGTTACTAGCCAACTGTGACCAGGACTGCCCTTCAGCTCTCAGCCACCCCTGCGGTCTCCCGGGTGCTTGTAGTCATTCAGTAGTGATGGTGGGGGACCTGCCTCTTTTCCGACCAGCGCTGAAAGTCCAGTACAGGGCGGTGATTCTTGTGACGTATGGAGAGACAGGGGGCTTGTGTGGTGGGCAGGAGAAGGAGTTGGCCTGCGCTTCCTCTTCCTTCCCTGTGTGCGGTTACTGGGTCCGTAGCTGTGAGCCGAATTGGGTGGGAATATTAAAAATAAGTGTTTTTTCTTTTCAAGAGTATACTTTACTGTCATACAGAATGCTACCCTGAAGTAACAGTGCTGAGAGGAAACTTCAGCAGGCTGCCCACAGGTGCTGGGTGTTAATCTTTTACATTTGCTGAGGATTCTGAAGAGAAAACCTTTTTTTTTTTTGAGTTACCACTCCAATCCATGTACCATGACGGTAGAGAGTTTCTTAAATCTTACATATGTCTATGTTGACCTTTTTCACAGCTGCGTTGATGTGGAAGAAGACGAAGCACCAGACATTGACATCTATCACTGTCCAAACTGTGAGAAAACCCATGGCAAATCCACTTGTAAGTAGAGTATCTGGCTCAAAATGTTTAAAATGTGGAATATGTTGAATGTTACTTAAGTAGGGTGTGCCGAACTGGTATTGTGATTTTGTTATATCTTTGCTGTCCCCATTTCACTTGATTGACATTCAGCTTAAAATAACAGGAGAGGAAGAAATCTTTCAGCCCCCTGAACCACGAATATCACTAGTGGTTGGTTTCACCTCTGGTCAGTGACATTGGTCTCATGTTTCAGATTCCTGTTGGCATAGGAAATTAGCATCATTGTTCATTGTTTAACACTTCAGGTCTCACTTGGAGCTGAGAAGAAAAATGATCAGAACCTGCGCTTTCTGTGCATAATGTGGGTGTCTGAGATCGCAATATAACTTTACAGGAGTTTTGATTGCTCATGTAGATCTGGTGTTAAAGGAAACAAGTAAAAAAAATGTCAGGATGCCCCAGCATTGTAAAATGATATAAAATGGACAGTTATTAGCTATTGCAATGGAGTGCTGCAGCTTGTAAATTAAAATAAAAGCTTGTTGTGAACTGACGTGAGTCTCAAAATAACCCACTCCAATTTTAGCAGGAAACAAAAGACTCAAGCAGGCAGTTGACACTTAACTTAAGAAAACATGCCAGACAGGCATAGAGGCCTTGTTAAACTGGTTATTTAAGCGAGGGCTGGTTGGAAGATTTGTGTTTGTACAAGGAACAGCTGGAAAGGGAGGATGGAGGGAAGATGGGAAATGTTTTTTCAATCTCTAGGTGAAAAACTGTCCTTGTGGTCAAAGCAAAGTTTTGGGCTCTTATTCATTTCTTACCGATTGGTCAGCCTCAAGATATATTCATTAGCAACTGAGTTATGGCTTTAAAGAAATGTAAAAAATGCATGACTATTTGAAAGGGATTTCAAATAACAGTGACAGGTGTATCTCTAGCCTTCAGCTAGGTGTACTTCAGTAACAGAACTGTTCTGTTGTATACCTATAAAATGTATAATTATTAATATTATTATTATGTGTGTTGTCGCATGAGAGTTTTTCAGAATGTACATTTCTTAAAGGTAAGCTTTGCATCAGATGTTGTAAGAGTAATAGATCAGTTTGCTGTATTCATGTCTAAAATCATCAGATAATGATTATCTAAAAAAGAAGCATTATCAATGAAACAAATTCTACTAAACTGTTGTAAACAGCTTCTTTAAAAGCTGTGTGTACTTGCTTTTTAACATTTAGTTTAATAATACTGTATACCAATGTGTTTACCAAACCTGAGACCCATTCTTAGCTGAAGTGTCAACACTAGCTCTTCAGACTAATGGCCATTTAAGAGAAATCTTCATGCTTGATTAATAATCTGAGTTGGTCTTGGTGGTCATAGTTTTTCCTGAGTATAAAAATTGACAACAATAGGCGAGAATGTGATATTGTTCTGATGTTAATAAATTAAAGGTTGATTTCATTGTCAAATGTGGCATTTACACACATCAGTGGCATACCTGTTCATTCACACCACTGCTCTGGGGCTCACCATTTGGGGAAGATTTGCTACAGGTAAAAATTCGAAAACTGTCCTGTGAAGGATGAACTCCACCATTCAAAAAGTTAAGGAAAATGGGTTGGGAATAGATGTGTGTCAATAGGGCTTTATCAGAAGAGCTTTATTGTGTTCAGGTGGCTTGTGTTTTACCACGTTTACCTTGAAGTTAAACACACCAAAAGCACTCGCTCATTAAGGACCCCTACTGACTGTCAAATTAAATTCCGTCGGCGTTACAGCACAAAACAGGGATTCTCAACCAATCTTATATACTGTACATAAGCCAACCAATGTAAAACACAGGCAAGATGACCTGTACTCTAACATAAACAAAAGGGAACTGCCCTGGTTCCTTTTGGTAATCATAAATATTTCTGTTCCAACAGAAAGCAGAGGTGTCGAATAGCATGAACAGTTTTTCAATCCTGTCTGTTTTTTATATTGCACTGGAGAGTCTAGAAGGCTGCCGGCACCATTATTGTGGACAGGACTTGTGAATATATTCCTGTCTAATTATATCACATGAAAATCAGCATCATGACAAAAGAGGCAGGTTTTCATACAGCTCTGTTGTATGCGGCAAACCTTCAATTTATTCTAAATGTACTAAATATAGTTTTAGATGTTTCTGTTACTCGGAAAAGTTTCATATCAAAGTATCTGGGGGGAGGACTGTATTGCAGTAATTATGGGAATATTGTTTGCTCAGTTCTTGTTTTGTGCAGCTTTGATTTAAATTGTAATGAATGTTGGTGAGGAATGATGGGAACCAGATTCCCCAAAGTCTGTGCTTGGTTAGGTGGTTAGTTTCACTGTGTGTAGGGGTGCTGACTTCCTCGGCCTGCGAGTACATAGTCAGCACTCCACTAAGGGTGTGTGCGGCCACATTATCTGATTGGATGTCATAATTGCTCCTGAAGTAGGATGGTTTGTTTAGCCTATTTCAGAATCATTGAGTGACTTGACAGAGTCTAGAGCTGCATTGTCAATGTGGGTAATTAAGTTCACTGCTCTTCTACCAATATAGGGGAATTATTTCAATCCCAGAGGACACCGAGTCATTTAACAGAGTATTATTTATTCCAGTGAAAAAGAAAAGGAACTGGCACAAACATGACACGGGGCAAAGTACAGACGTCAAGCCAGTTCAGAATGGCAGTCAAGTGTTCATAAAGGAGCTTCGAAGTAGGACATTCCCAAGGTAAGAACAACCTTTCCTTTAAAACCTTGTTTTAGCACTTTTAAACTGCTCTAAATTGATTTACTTACAGAGTGTATACTTTCTGATATCTTAATAATCTTTGGAATAGGGGCCTATTCATCTATTTTCAATGGACTCCATCATTGAATCCTAGAGATCTGGTCATGCACCTGTAGGCTTCTGCTATCATACCCATGTCAAAAACATCTGATCTGGAGACTAAAGTGCTTTATAACTGCTGTGCTGTTTTCATCGTGCCTTAATTTGCATAAATTATTTCGAGAGATGCCTGGAATTTGTAATGATCAGGACCTTTGTTTAACATCTCATCAGAAGAACGACACTTTTTTTACAGTGATAGTGTCCCCATCTCTATACTGGGGCATTAGGATCCACATAGACTGGAGGGTGAGCGCCCCCTACTTGTCCCACTAACACCTCTTCCAGCAGCAACCTTAGTTTTCCCAGGAGGTCTCCCATCCAGGTACTGGCCAGGCTCACACCAGCAGAGCTCACACCAGTAAAGACTTACTACTGTTACAAACATTGTTAAGCTTATGACATGCTGGTGGGTTCTGACTTTGAGTCACTTAATATTCTGCTCTTTCTGGACATAATATGCAGATTTCAATCATTTTAATCAGTCAAGGTATTTTACTGTATTGATTGTATGTAGTTTTATTTAGAGATGATCTATACTGTAATTAGGCTTCTAATTTTTAAATACTGTTTCTTTTAAATTGTAATGTTGTCCCATTGTCTCAGGATTGTTTCTGTGCTGGGAGCTTTCATAATTTGTACATATTTTGCATGTTAGTCAGATTGTTTGCCACCTTGGTTTAGATTTCACTGTGCAGCAGCAACAACATCCCAAATTGATTGATTTAGTCATCAAACAGTTGTTTAGACTGGGGGTGGCATGGTGACACAGGGGTTAGCATCGGCCTGCAGTACAGGGAGTCTGGGTTCAGTTCCCGGAGTGCTCCAGTACGTGCCTGGAGTTTGTATGTTCTCCCCATGCTCACGTGGGTTTCCACTGGGTGCACTGGTTTCCTCCCCAAGTCCAACGACATACTGGTAGGTTAACTGGCTTCTTGGAAAACTGCTCCTGGTGTGAGTGTGTGCTCTGCGATGGACTGGCTTCCTGTCCGGGGTGTGCCCTGCCTTTGCTGGCTGGGATAGGCTCCGGCTCCCCCACTGGATAAGGAGATTAGAAACTGGATGGATTTTTCTATTTGGAAATGTATGGATTTTATCAACTGGGCAAAAGGAAGTGATATCCAATTATCTCCTAGAGACTTGCAGGCTCAGAGCAGCTGTTCCTTCACACTGACTTACTGCCTGCTGTGCTAGTTTTGGATTATGTCACTTCCTTTGTTCAACATACCTAGCAATTAGCTTTTGCTTCAAATTGCTTTAATAACGGATGTCTAAATATGAATAACATGGTTCCCGTGTCTTGTAGCACAGATCTGAATGTTCAGAGATCAAATGATGATGAGTTTTTATGAACTTTTATGAACTATTTGAAAGATGTTTATGTTAAGAAAACAGCAGCAGAGATCTCACAGTTTTAGCTGATAGTGGCAGAAACCTTGGCAACTCCCCGAATAACACTGCAAAGGGATTTTCAGTGATAACCTCAGTAAGCAGACAAGATTATTAGAGTCTTTAACATTATAATGCCAGTTATAGGTTGTTTTACTTATGAAGTTATTAAACCTTAAATTCTTAAAATCAGTTAAATACAGTCTGAGCCCATATTTCAGTGACATTTATTTCAATTTTATTTATTATTAGTCTAAAGGCTTTTTTGATACATTTGGCTGCCTGTGGCGTTTCAGAGAACATGTCTGAATGTTGACTGCAGAGTTACCTATACCTAATATAATAGTATAACTTGGCTATTTGTGGTTTTAACTCCAGGGTCCAGGCTAAATTACACTCTGGGCATATACAGTATGGCCTCCCTAAAGTTCCTCCCAAAAATAATCTGTAAAAGCAATTATTACAGCTCCACCTGATCTGCTGGACAGAGGGAACGTCTGCCAATCGTCACCATATTAGAGCTGCACTTGAGTGTAGATAAGGCTGCTCTCTTCCACTACGAAAAAGTTTTTAGGAATCCTTTGTGTGAAATCAGTTTATTGATGCAAAGAATTATGATGATCATTAATGTAAATGTTGATAACTGGAAAATGTTTTTAAACAGTTTGATAGGTATTTTAACTAAAGAAAGTGTTAACCCAGGCTCCACAGTTCATAACAGTGTCAGTAGATGGTGCTCACACACCAGTTTAAGGAAAGAGAGGCACAGAAATTTTGTAACACGGACATCAGGCATAAGGCATGATGGAAACTACTAAGGCATTGTTTTTAATCGGTCTTTGGTATGAGCTAAAGTGTTCAGTAAATCATTATCTTGAATAAAAAAAACATCTCAGCTGAAAGCAGTAAGCCGTTTTACACTCAATTTTATTTTTTAAAAAAAGCTGTTATTCCAAGGAGGAGGTTATTGTATACAAAGATATTCAGACAACATTTTTGTGACTTGACCTTTTTTTTTTGCTTCCAGACTATGACGTTTTTGTAGTGTACTCGGGATGCATGTGAATTTTTTTTTTGTATTCACATTCATCTTTATTGTGGTCTCTTCGGTAGTTCTGATGATGTGCTCACGAAACTGAGTGGAAGTCAGTTGACGGTAGAATATCTGGAGGAGAACGGATTCACAGAACCTATACTGGTTCCAAAAAAAGACGGTCTTGGAATGTCTGTACCTCCACCAACGTTTTACGTCAGTGATGTAGAGAACTATGTTGGTATGTATCCTCCGTTGGTATAATATCAATACTTTACCTTATACAAAGGGTTAAATAAATAGTGCAATATTTACTGGTATATTCTGTAAAAAAACACAAAACACAAACTATTTAATTTCCTTGCCTTTTAACTTCATATTATAATAAATGTAATATAATAAACATTTATTTTAACACCTTTGAAAGCAATCATCTCACTGTGCTTTACAATATATGAAAAGCACACAAAAAGCAAAAGCATGTCCACACATTGACATAGTATAATGCTCTTGTTAAATTCTAAGGGTTTCTAATGGAAGCAAACCATCCTGTACAGCACTGGGAAAATGCCTTTAATGGAAAGTTTTATATGCATTCTGTGTATAAAACAGCGCCATCTGTCTGTCAGTATTTTTTTGGCTGTAAAAATAACATTTCTTTAGCACAGCTCATACAGTACATGCATCAAAACACATTATCTTTGCATGGCTCAGTATTTAAAAATGTTTTCCCCTTGCTGTGCCACAAAACCATTGTCTCTAAATGTTTAAAGATATATTAACAAGACATGTTGTAAAAATAAATAAACTGTGCCTTTGAAAACTTATATTTATAAATATTATAGAAAACAAAAACTTTAAACCCACTGAAGGAAAGTCAGTTTTTTTCTCTTTGACACATTTGAAAACAATTGATTGCTTTTAAATTGTATGATTTAATTTTTTTTAGTTTCCATTGTTAATGCGCTCTCATTAATTTGTAGTTCTAAGTTTAGCGTCACTTTTACTGCTGTCAAGGAGTTTTTGTAATCATAAATGAAATGTTAAAAGTTAAAATAAATTTTAAAAGGTGTGGAATAAATTAACAAAATTGTGTTTCACTTTCTGCTTCAGAAATAAAATGTCTGGTATTTTAAAAGCAATTTTTACTGTGGGGTATTCTGAAACCTTCTGACCTGAATTCCAGGACATGTATTTGACTGATTTTACACTTCATTTCCTAGGCCCAGAAAGAGCTGTAGATGTCATTGATGTTACCAAACAGACAGACAGCAAGATGAAGCTCAAGGAATTTGTTGATTACTACTACAGCACAAACAGGAAACGAGTATTAAACGTGATAAACCTGGAGTTTTCAGACACAAGGTGAGCACCCACAAATGTTCAAAGAATTTTGCCTGACAAAAGATAAGGGGTTTCAAGAGCATACTTTTCAGATGAATTGTTGAAATCATTTTACTAGGATATAGCAGTTTTTATTAATCTATCAAACTTCTTGCTTTAAAAGCTCTAAGTCACGTTTAAGTTTTTGATTAGAAATATGAAATACCAGAATGACTGACTGTGTCATTTATTTTTGTTATCTGTCAAGGATGTCCAGTATCGTGGAAAGTCCACAGATTGTCAGGAAACTGTCCTGGGTGGAAAATTACTGGCCAGATGATGCACTGTTGGGAAAACCCAAAGTGACAAAATACTGCTTGATCTGTGTGAAGGACAGCTACACAGACTTCCACATAGACTCAGGGGGATCTTCAGCTTGGTACCACGTACTCAAAGTAAGCAACTGAGCTTCCATTATTTGATATGTGGTTAGAATCGATACCCCCAGTTCCTGAGCACCATGGGTTCGTATATGACACACTGGAAGCTGTGTTTTTTTAATTTGGAATTGCCGGTTATTTATTATTATGTACACACCCAAACTGAGATGACCAGGTGACTATAAGACCCAGCTTTATAGCAGCGAGTCCTGTATCCATACAGAGAGAGCATGAGGACATGTAGAATGTGTTCTTCTGAAGCCCTGCACCTGTTAGAGCTGTTCCTGTTACGACAGGCAGAAGCTGTGCCTCACAGGAGAGGCTGTGCCAGTCAGAGGAGTGGCACAGTTCTCACTGTTGGCTGTACAAGCCTGCAGTGCCCAGCAGGTCCCAGGACAGACTGTTTTGCTGAAAGTCACGAGGGCAGAAAACGCCACTATTGCTGCCACTTGTGCTCCATCACCTTTGGAACTGAGCACAGCTGGCTAGTGACATAGGCTCAGGCTTGGGACATGTGGACTAGAGAGCTCGCCTTGCTCTCCGAATGAGCAGCAGTACTGGTGGAGCCACCTGGGACCCTACAGAAGTGATCTGACTTCATCTTTCTTCATGATTCAATTTGACCTCCGTTAAGCGACAAGCTAAAATATGTGATTGGAAAAAAAAGGAAAGACTCGCGCAGAGACGTAACTTCTTTCACAGAACAAGACATGCCAGTTCACGTGCTGCTTGAGCTTTTCTCAAGGTTTTCAAAAGTGGGGTCGTTTTTAGTTTGCGTAAAAAAAACCCGAGCACGCATAAGGAAGCAGTTGTTCAAGAATGTTTGTGTATTTGAGACACAAACTGGCAAATTATGTTACAGAAGTGAAATCAAAGGTTCATGGCTATTTCTTGATATTTGTATAACTCAGCTGTGATGGATATAAGATTGTTTGATTAATATAGATCACAACAGATCAAGGAAGGAACTGGAGACGTGAATGTTATTAGATGACAAAGGTTACTTTACGTTAAGTTGATGGTCCACTTTTTCTTTACATTAATAAGATGTATGCTGTCAAACAGGATCCATCATCATCATGCTTAAATGAACATTATGAAAGTTTCAGCATTTCCTAAAAAGCATTACTGTGAGGTATTTCTTTAGGGCTTTTATGATTAATGAGATATTATGTGTTGGCCTCTGACCAAGTAATACTCTCACAAAAAGGCCTCCTGCCGTCTGACTTGGTCCAAATTAGGATTTTCTTACATCAGCCTCATGTCCTAAATCGTAAAACAGCACGTGCCAGTCATCCAAATCATGCTTTTGCTTGATGTGTTTAATGTGTTTTGGCATAATTTATGAACTCTCCAATTTGTCAGACAATAACATTAGTCTTGTTGATTCGTTTTCATTGTTTTATGTGCATGTGGTCCTGTGCAGGGGGAGAAAATATTCTTTCTGATCAAACCCACATCTGCCAACATGTCCTTGTACGAACATTGGCAGTCCTCTTCGAACCACAGTGAAATGTTTTTTGCCGATCAAGTAGACAAGTGTTACAAGTGCATACTCAAACAAGGTCAGACGCTATTTATTCCTTCAGGTAAGGTTTGTGATTTATTGGATTATTTATTTATATGAATGTGCCTTTTAGATAGTTTGTTCTAATTCTTCTTTTAAAAGTATCTTACCTCTGGGTCCAAAAGTGTTTAAAAATGCAAAACAGTATCAAATTTCTCTATCACTGCTCATAACACTAAATATATTTTAATGTTTGTTATTTGCTGTTTTTTTTTAGTATCTTTATGAATGACAGGTCTCAAAAAACATGTAAATTGAGCTTTTGGTTGCAGTCTAACGTTTATTGAATAATGATAAAATGGGGTGTTCCAACATGTTTCTCTTATTGTTGGAAAAGATGTCAAGTTTCACTACTATTCAAATGAAAGTGGTGCCACATTTTCGGGACACACTGAGCCTAACAAGTTTGCTTATTGGAGGAACTTTTATAAATCACAAAAAATAGCTTAAATGAAGTTTCACTCCCCGTTAGGCAGGGTTATGCAAAATGATTTTGCAAAATGATATTCGTATATAAATTCTTTTTAATAATTAAAAGTATATATTTTCATCAGACCCTCAAAGGCTGACTATATCATGCCATGTTAAAAGCTGATGAATAATAATGACTTCAGTTGATAAAAGTTCTGTAATAATTCTCTTTTGACTTTTTTTTATTCTTGTTTGTCCTTGTCAGGCTGGATTTCTGCTACATTGGCCCCAGTGGACTGCTTGGCCTTTTCTGGTCACTTTCTTCATAACCTGAGTATTGAAATGCAGATGAGGTCTGATATTTACGTTTCTACTCAGTGGTTTTAATATAAATCTCATTCAGATAATACAAAATACAGCACTGCGATTCTAGGTCTTGTAAACTTTAAATAGTATTTGGAGATTTCCAGTTTATTGTCAATGGTGGATTGTTGATTTGCCAAGTGAGTTATGTAATTCCAAAACGTGCATGAAGTCAGGGGTCTGAGAGAAGAAATCTAACTTAAACATTGCCCCTGCCTGCTATCCATACTTTGTTTCCTATCAGAACAGCTGTATTGGCAATATATGTGACTTACAACACAGTGATTTGGGAGGATATAAAAACATGAATAATGTGTCCTGTTCCAAGTTTAAAAGCTTAACAGGGACCTCGCACAAACTCTATCAAACATCTGCTTACATATGAGAGAAAGTAGAAAATTAAGTCATTGGAAGTTCAGAGCCCTTTCATAAAATTCTGTTAAAATATTCAAATATACAGTGCTGATGGTTAAGTTTTTTAGGTTTATTTATTTACCCTGGGGTGTTGAAATATATGACGTCATTTTCACAATTCTTAATTTTCTGTTTCACATGTTCTCAATGTAATGAGAAAATCTTTTTATTCATTGGTGTGTTTGCTTTGAGTGACGACAGATGTAAACGATTGCCACACAGTGCTGTGCTCAGAAATAGCTGCTGTGATTTAATTTCTAGTCACAGTATCCGTCCCAATCACGTGTTTATGGGATGATGAACCAAAGCAAAGCAAATGACCGCAGAGCCACATGATCAACCATTCACACACTATCGCCCAGTCTCAGGAGTGTATAAAAAACAACTTCCCCATTTCACGATTAAATTCATTTGGACATTTCTGTTAAGACACAAGAAATTGCATTTCTTGTAAATATTGCCTGCATTATCTAAAATGATTTATTTCTGTAGCTGTTAAAATCACTGATTGCCCATTTTTTTGTGTTGTTTCAATTAGTTGATGTCTGCAGCTCATTATTTTAAAGAGCAATTTGTTTTGCATCGCAGAGCTTATGAAGTGGAAAAACGACTAAAGATTGGCAGCCTGACCCCGTTTCCAAACTTTGAAACTGCGTGCTGGTATGTGGGCAGGCATCTGCTGGAGAGATTTAAAGGTAAATGTGAGACCAAGCATTGCTGGCTGTTACACTGAAAAGACCTGTTTTTAGAACCGTGACATGGACTGGCTTTTAGGAACAACAGGCGACAATGACATGGTGGTTCGTGGGTTCTGAGTTGAATATTAGAGTGTAGAGTTTGCATGTTCTTCCTGTGTCCTTGTGGGTTTCTTCCCAGCTTTCAAAGACACATGTCTCATCCAGAGTGGACAGCTCCTGGTTCTGGGATGGGCCACTGCCCTCACCAAGACCTTTCTGATAATGCACATATGCAACAAATCATCCCCGAAGGTTCTTAATGACGGCAATTTACTTTTAATTGACATGCTCATAATCTTTGCTGGACATGTTTCCAATAAACAAGAACTGGAAAGAAATATAGGATTTTCCTGCTCGGCTGCATAACTGTAACTTCCTGATCATCGTTCCAGTCTGCCATTCCTGGCTTGAGCCTCCGGAATGGATGTAAAGCTGGCCTCTGATTTTCTAATATTATCACGGTCACTAAATTGTTGCATCACTAAATACACAGGTGATTAGCCTTAAAAGACTTAGCTGAAGCTAAAATCACTTGCTCCATTACAGATGGATATTAAGCCCTTTTTTAACCCTTGTCACTTGAAACAAGGTCATTGTTTCTGTTTAGTGTCGGCTAAGTATATGTTTTTGGGATGTGTTTGATTTCATTCAATTACTTTGATTCTCGCACAGACAAAGCTAAAGGGATGTCCTATTTTCCTCTTACATTTTAGAAGATACCTAAACAGACTTTTATCCTTTTTATTGACATCATTTTTCTATTATCTGTGCTTTCTTGAAAAACAAATACAGTATTGTTTGCAGTGTCCTTAAACCTCATCTTAATATACAGTATCTTTCAGTGTCTGCTGTAGTCTGACACATGGTTAGGGTATTTTCTGCTAGCCAAGCGGTCTGCAACCACAATCCTAGAAAGCCTTAAGTGGATCAATCAGTTGCCTAATTAGGAGGCCTTAATATGCCCTCCACATCTCTGCTCGCAACACTCTTCTGTGGTACTTAGGGATAAGGTTCTTGTCTCTGCTCTGATTAAAGTCTAGCTGGACCACAAGCAGGACCGACTGGGTTATGGATCTAAATCTGAAGTTTTTAATCTCTGCTTTAAGTTAGACTTTCTCCAGGGTCTTAATTTTACTGCAGTGCAGAATATATCTATTGTAGGTACTACATGCTCACTTTGGTTTAATCATAATTAGGGCACACTATACAGTATATGGTGCATATGACTTCATTAACATTTGGTTTTCAGATTTGGCTTGTATGTGTATTCTTTGTGTCCCAGTTTAATCATACTCCTAAATGTTACAGAAATTTCCCCTCCATCACTCAAATTTATTTTGTATAAAATTTCAGTTTTTTTTTATCCTTCACTGAAATACAGTAGGAGGTTTGCTTATTTCTCAACACTTTTTTTACTTATTCATCTTTACAGAAACTTTTGATATTTACTTCTGTTTGCATGAAGCTCTTTCCAATAGCAAAATACTCCCATTAGTTATCTAAGTGATATACTGCCTTGCTGCGATCTTAATGAATGAACTTATAGGAACAATTATTTAAAAGTGCAGAAGACAATACAGTATGTTTGACTGTTTAGGGCTGAGTAAAAACATTCTTATTCCAACTAATTTAGGCTTCAGGCAAATAACTTCCAGCATTCATACATGCAAAAGCTGCCTCATAGTTCCCAGAGGATATATTTCATTGGCAAAGGTTAGGATTATGCTCTGATGTTTAATCGCTCAATAGTTTAACCCTCAGGTCTTTAAAAGATCACATGTCATTTCATGACAAATTGAATCTAAAACCTTGAACTTTCTGGAACATATATAAAAGATCACTGTGCTGTTTTTCAGGGTAGTTTGATCTTTGGAAGCATTAGGTGACGTGTTGAAATCTTTTCTGCAGGTTTACACAAAGCTGGAAAGCAGCCTGCTCCTTACTTAGTACATGGTGCCAAAATCCTCAATGGAGCTTTTAGATCGTGGACAAGAAAACAGGTAAGTGATATTTTTGTAACTCGAAATTCCTCTTTCCATAGAAAGGACACGAATAAACAAAGTGAAACAGTCCTTCAGAGTAGCTTCTACTCTCTTGTACCTGACCTGCTTTCAGATTTGTACTCTTAAAAGTAAAAGTAGAATGAGGTTATATCCTCAGATGAGGATAATTCCCCGGCCCCCCAAAGTATTTAATTAAGTAACTTTCTCTTTTTAAGTTTTTATAGCCATTAGTTTACATAGCCAAGATGCCCATTGTAATCTAACATGAAATAACTTGCAAGAATCAAGTGTTCAGGCTGTAAATCAGTGATGTACCTGGCATGCAGTGAGGTCATACATGACTTCTTTTGCTAATGTTAGATGACATCACCTGATGTCATTATTTTCATCTCTGGGCAAGTCATAGTAATGGTCATAGCTGTTGTGTTAAGAGATGAAAAAGTATCACACTTAAAAATTGTTGTGCTATTAACACTTGCCGAGCCTAAAATACTTACACAGTTTCCACTTTCTCAGTAATTAGCTGTCCTGTTCTCCTACCAGTTAACCTTTGCTTTTGTATTGTAATGTACATAACAACAGGCCCTTCTTGAACATGAGGATGAACTCCCGGAAAATATGAAGCCAGCACAACTCATAAAGGACCTTGCCAAAGAGATAAGAATTTCAGAGGTGGGATTTCATTTCATAGTCCACGGTTTCTCCTCCCAGTTCATGCTTCTGTTCAATCGGAGTGTCCAAAGCCCAGAGCTAAGACTGCCCTCATTCACAGAGCAGGTGTTTGGAAGTGGGCTGAATATTACCAAGTGTTTGATTCATTAAAAATAGACTTTGGCATGTCAAAGTCAACTTATACATTAATAAAAAAGCCTTCCAAACAGGGTTTGTAGTTTTTGACCCTAAAACAAGTGTGTTCTATTATTACAGTATGTTTAAGACGTGTGACCTGCATTAGAGAAGTATCTAAAATTGTAATAGAAAAAAAAGCATACCACTTTCCTAGTATTGTACTGAGGAGAATACAGTAAAGAATCTTGTTTCAGGTTTCTGCCTGATTACATTCTGTTTATTGGGGTTTTTGGCCTTTGCCTCGCCTGCCACATTTGATCTCTTCCAGTACTTGAATGCAGATCAAATACCTTCAATTTGTTAATACGAAGGTAGCGTGGAAAAATTGTAAGGCTGTTTACAGAGCTGGCGCTATCCAAATACCGCTAAAATATTTAGTTTATGACAAATGGAGAAATACTGCTTCATTAAAAAAAAACAGTCGCAGTTATTTTTCTTGGGTGAGAATCCGAACCCTGATGTCTGCAGTATCACTGTTGGGCTTCTTTCTGTTTCCATGCTCTGATCACCTCAGAGATACCTTGAAAGTTCAGGGATATTCTGAAAAAATACAGACTTAAGATACATTTGCAGAAATTTAAATAAAATACCATAACAATGTAAATAATTCAATCATTTGATCATATTCAGGCTTTATGAAGCCACAAGGAGGATCAAGAATGATGTAAATCTCTTTCCTTGACATCCGAGTCAAAGTCATGCTTCTTTAGGTCCTGTCAGTGCATTATAGTACACGTAGGAAGACATCTTTCACACAGCCTACAAGTCTTAAGCAGGCAGCCGGAATGTGTGGTGTGCCTTTGTGATAATTACATCACAAATAGAGTCACAAAGAGCATAAGCTACAGTATATCTGCACCTTGCTGTTGACTGGCCAATTTTAACAGCAGCAGGACTTATATTCTCTGTATCATACTAGGAAAGTGGAGTTCACCTTTAAAAGAAAGCACCATACTGTGTGCATCATTTGTCTTCCAAGGTGGTTTGCTGGACCACTCAACGTGGATCAACAAAACACCAAGAACAGAGCTAGCAGGCACAGCCCAGTGAGTTGACCACTCTTTTTACTGCATGTGTTGGGTGTGCCCTATCCTATAAATGCTGGTGTAGTCTGACACACCGGTTATACATATAGTGTGTAGTAATGTATATTTGCACACAAAGATTGGCTCCTTTGATTTACCAGTAACAAACCCAGGAATTAAGGACTGTGCAGGTATGTCATAATCATTTGTGCTTAAACAACCTAGAGGGGTTTTCGGAATGCTCTTGGTTGCCCTCTAATGTTTGATCAAAAGCATGATTACACTCCAATGGAGAACTGTGATCAAACAATTTCTTTCTGTGTCTTGTGCACCTCACATTTTCTGTATCCCCTTGCTGTATTTAATTACACGCACAGCCTGTGCTTAATCTATTGAGATGTGTGAACAAATCAAGGGCTGCCAATCCTTCAGTGTGCTACTGTTAGATTTAGTTAGCACTTATTGATCGGAGTATTAGTCTACTCTGGGCATTCAATCACTGGACACAGTTGTGTTTTGCTCTTGATCAGCGATCGTTGGATCTTGACAGCCGGTCGAACAGAAGGTACCTTTCTTGTCTTCCTGCTTTTTGGTAATTTACCAAGTGAAAATTTGTTTCTTGCAGAACGTGTCTAAAGCCATCAAGCTGGAACCGAGCACCAACATACCTGCAGAAGAGGCTCTTCCTGTGGAGCCAGAGGAGCCCGTTTCTCCTGTGCACATTCCCACTCCACCCAGGGAGAAACCCTCCAGGAAAAAGGCCCCAAAAACCAACAAGACCCCCAGACCCCCAAAGACCCCCAAAGCGAAGGAAGGAGGAAAGAAGAGAGGGAAAAAATTGAAAGAGAGCCCGACCCCACCCACAGCGCCTAGCTTGGATGTCCTGGAGACACACACGAAGGAGACCTTAATGAAAGTGGAAACGCCAAAGAAAGGGAAGGTAGGTGTGACCTGCTGGTCTTTTTTATGTCTGTAAAGTAGCTCATTAGAACTACAGTTAGAAGGTATTCTAGAAGGTCCCGCGCTAATTTACTTATTTTTTAAATGCAAACATTAAAATACAGGCCATTTTTGGTACTCGCGCACATTTATTTCATGTCCTGTAAAAAAAACCTATATAAGACCTGCTGATCACAATGTCGAAAAGTACGTTCCAGTGCTTCTGGAATTGTAACATGTGGGGATGTTGTTGTTTCTCTTTACAAACAGGCCTCAAAGAATGTAATAGGCTTGCCTGAGAAAGACGTCTTAAATAAGCAAAACGATGTCGATAAGTTTGAAATCCGAGAACAAAACAAGAATAAAACGGAAGCAAAATGGAAGTACAAGGTAAAATAAATGATTGAGGAATATTCATCGGGATATCATATATAAGTAGCATGATATTAACTGTAGAGAATCGCATTTTACACATTATACAACATGTATTTTAAACATTGTACAAATTTGAAACATTGGAGAGTAACACTTAAAAAAAATTAAGTCAGTGGGTTTACAATTTTCAGATTAGAGAAATCGGTGAATTCAATTTGTAGCTCTGTCATAAAATCCAAAGGAGTATTCTGCTCATAACTCCTCACATCTGCCAATATCTTGTTATGCTAGTGTTTACCTAATACTGTTATACTATTTTCTGTTAACTACACTCTACATAAGTATTTACATATGCCTCCTCATATAAAAAAGGTTGTTTTGTTATTATCACTGAATAATAACAAATGTGTAGGAGAGCATACTTCTGAAGAAACGGAAGACATTAGAAGGATTTAGTTTCATGGAAAATTATATGCCAAAGTGTTCTGGAATGTTTTTAGTTGCTCCAAGTATCCTTGTCCAAGGTTTTTTACCAGAATCTCAAACGTTAGCAGATGGATGAGAAGCTCTGTCAAACATTCACAAAGGTCATCAGAGACAAGTTTTTTTTTAAAAAAATTTACCTTTCATAGTGAATCACAGTATAAATGAGTAAAATATAACATGCAACATAAATTGCCCTCTCTCACACTGTAAGAAAAAACATTTTGCTGTTTCTTTTGTTACTTAAAATGCTAGCACAAAACCATGTGAAAGTGCTCACTTTTTGCACATAATTTAACTGCACTACAAAGGCGGCTGTGAATAGTAAGCATCAAATATCTATAGATTTTTTAAATTTGGAATTATAACAATTTTTTCAGTACCACTAAACATATAAACCAAATGCAATGGTTAACCATGGTTGAATAAACTGAATGTAGTTTAACAGCAGGTTTTTTAGTGCACCTTGATTGGACTCGCTGTTATGAATTATTCTCTAAAAGTACATTTTCACATCTAAGAATTGTCTTGTATGCTGCTACCTATTTTGTGCACAATGTTCGCTCATAATTATCTTTGTTTCTTTTTCATACAGAACAGCAAACCAGATTCTTTGTTGAAAATGGAAGAAGAACAAAAATTGGAAAAGACCCCACTATCAGGAAATAAAGACAATAAATTCGCCTTTTCATTTTCAAATAAAAAGCTAAGGTATATCTTTGAATTTTCTGTCAATTTAAATTCTATTTGTGCATAATTTACATTGATGTTTTTTTTTAATACAAAAGATGTTTGGTATTGCTAACTTGAGATTTTAAGCAGGATCACATCTGCGAGAGATCATGTGTGTTGCTCTGACATTCTTTGTTCCCTGAAACATTTTCCATGAGTTATTTATAAAATGTACTTAAAATTTGTTATGTGACTTAGCCTTCTTAGGAGGCCAGATCAGTTAAGTGTTTATTTTAATGTGGTTTCCTTATAGCTCTAAAGGGCTCAAACCCCAGATGAATTCAAGTGTATTTGGATCATTGCAAAACTTCAAAGAGGATAAAGCCAAACCAGTCAGAGATGAGTATGAGTATGTCTCAGATGAAGGAGAACTGAAAATCGATGAGTTCCCAATCAGAAGAAAAAAGAATGTAGCTAAAAGAGACCTATCATGTGAGTTTCACCTTTATTTTCATCAATATGGATTTTGATATATTGAAATCATCCGGTACATATCATTTACAGTATATCCTACATATACATCCATATCCTCATTTATCCAATTTTTATCCTGTTTTTTGGAAATAATTGATTTTATTTCTGCTGGAATAAACTATTTTTGAATTCTCTACATTTGTGAATAATACCACATCTGTTGTGAACAGCATAGCTTACAATTGTTAACTTCTATGTACTTTCCTCTGCAGTTATATCAAATGTCAAAGAACCCAGTCAACAGGCTAAAAAACCAAAGCTTCTACCTACAGTTCCCAAGGTATGTAAATCTTGTTTTCGGTTCTCGACCTCCGTTGTATCAAGTGGCAGAGTTCAAATGCAGGCTGCCAAGAGCTGTGCTTCAGTCCCATTGTGTCCCATACCAGTGTCTTCAGAACCTCTTTGCTAAAGAACCCTAAGCCATTGTTTCTAATTCTCATAACTAAACATTATCATTGCTAGGGAATATATTGCAAAGTTCTTTTAACTTTGAAAAACACTGATAGGCAGCAGAAAATGAAATACTGACAAGACTGGATTAACTCTACCATTAGGTTTTTAATAGGTTCCTTGTGCATGGTTTAAAAGCCACTTTTTTTAAGAGCCCGTCCCAGGGTTAAATTAGGCTGGATGTCCCACCCGCCTCCCTGATTATCAACCAAGTTCATTTATCCTAACCCTTCATTTTAAGCCAGCCCTGTGATAGATGGGGAGAATGTGCTCGTTCCCCCAGCCATCGACGGGCTTAAAACAACACACAATGTCGTTGGAGAAAAGAAGAAAAAAGAATCTTGAGTATCCAGCCAAAAGTTGCCACAAACTGATGAGGGAAATAGCTGCGGTAAAAACTCAGTTCCAGTGAGAAGCTGGTTTAACTTGAGTTCTTCAGATGGTCAGTGATTTTAGGTTACTGGCTGTAGAGAGTCTAAAAATCACTTCCTTCCTTTCAGTGTTACTCATTCTGTATATTGTATATTTTGGAATATTTCCCTGTTTCTTCTTCTGTTAGTAAAAATATTGCAAAGATGCCTCTTAACTGTGGTATGTTACATTTTTTTTTCATTCAAGCATAGTCTATCAACAGTTTATTTAGTGGAAAGCCTCATATGATTTTAATTCGATGAATATTTATCTAACAGGAAATAAATAGTCCCCATGTTAAGGTTTCTGATTCAGTCTTTACAAGGTCATGCAGAGGACTCAGAAGAGGGGAAGAGCTTTGCTGGCTAGTTCACATTGAAGATTTTTGTGTTATTTTGTCAAATCCGAAACATATTAAAAACAATCCATACAACTACATTTTGCTCATTATTTTTCATTTTGGTACTGCAGAGTGATGAATCATCAGATGAAGAATCCCTTCACATAGATACAGAAGTAAAGCCAGAAGTCAAATGTCGTAATTCAAAGGTCAAGAAGGAGAGCGGTAGTGCAGCAGGAATTTTGGACCTTTTGCAGGCTAGCAAGCAAGTGGGTGGAATTGACTACAGTGCCAACAGGTAGGGATGTCAGGCTGCTTTTGCTCAGTTGTGTGTGAATCTGAATCGGGAATTAAGTCCATTAAGACAAGCGGTCAGATTTGAAAGTGTGGCTTAGAACAAAAAAAAGTCTGACCTGTTCAGAATAAGCTGAAATACTGTAACGGTAGAGCTGGTTCATAAAAAGAACAGGAACAGTGTGTGAACTGAACTCAAAGTAACCTTTCATAAGATTGAATTGGGAGGTAGTAGGTAAGGAAGCTATTAATTGGACACGTCTAAACTAATGCTGCAACCAGATTTTTTTTTTTTTAGAATGTGAAATATTTAGCACGTGTATTGAAAATCAACCCCTGGAAAAAGTAGTAATTCTGTTAGCTGTTTACATGCAAAGCCAGTGTTTGTTTGATCCCCTTCTCCAGTTTATTTGTGAAAGTCATGGCCTGCTCCAGGCAGTTCCTCTGTTCATTTTGCCATTTGGTGTTTTGGTCAGTTTTTGATGGTCCATTTCCACTTCGTTGAAAGCTGCAAATGAGAGAAGAACAGAAGAAAAACAGCACTAAAATATGTTAATTTCTCAATGATTGTTTTTAGTACTTTCTAAACTGATAGATGACTGGATAATTGTGGATGTGGAAATGACCACACTCAATTATAACCACATTGAATAAGCTGTTTTCTCTTTGTTTCAGCTCACTGTGTAATGACTTAATAGGCAGTAATCCTGATTTTTGCGGTTACTCTTGCAAGTTTTCACAAGCTAGATGCAGTCTGTACAAGCTTGAAGTTATCGCATTGCAATGTTCAGTAATGGAAAAAGCTGGTCATACCTAAGAAATATGGTTTGGCTTTAGTTCCCCTTGCAAATGTAAGCTCTGGAAGGTGAGAAACATAATTGGCAAGCTATCTTATACACACGAAAAACAGCATTGTCATCTTCATTCATTTCAATCAAGAACAAATACAAAATTAATTAATACTTTTCCCATGGAGCCTTCCAATATCATTTTTTTTTTTGGACCATCAAACATTTTTTAGGACCGTTCCAGGAGCAGTCATCATCACGCTAACAGACTGTGTCGGAAAAGTATTTCCCAAAAAATAAAAAAAAATTAATCAACTAAAACTTCAAACATTTTAGCTTCCATATTTTATCTTGGCAGTGGAGAGTAAGTTTCAGTTTTATTAGAAGCCTCCTCTCCCTAGTCTTATTGTTATAGACCAGGTGGTTTTTGCCCGCTATCATGGTGAATTTTGAACACCTACTGTACCAATAATCGCGCAGTTTCACCACCTGTGCAGCATTAGCTTGAAGTAATGTGTGTGTGTGTGTGTATTTTCTATTGACGTACTTACAGTCAGCCACCTGCATCCCCCAGCACACAGGAAGCCATTCAGGGCATGCTGTCAATGGCCAACCTCCAGTCTTCAGACTCCTGCCTACAATCTTCCTGGACCAACAACCAGTCCAAGAACAACTCCCACTCCGCGCAGTCCTCCAAGAAGACGGGGAACAAGCGTCCCACCAAGCGTCCGATGAAGAAGAGCATGAAGAGCAGCAGTGTGGACAGTGTGGAAATGTTTGACGACGAGCAGGATAACCTTGGAGCATGCTTCAAGGACTCCGATTATGGTGAGCGGGACAGCTCTTCAGGCTTTTGGATTTCGGGTTCTGCTTCCCCTTAGGATTTTTTTTAATACCACTTGCTGCAAAGCAAAGGTGCGTGCTGCCTGTTTCGAGTCGTGCAGAACTTCAATCCAAGCCCATGACTGACTGGCACACGGTCACACGGATCTTCGGTCACCATGTTGCTGCTTGTAGAGTCCATTTCATCTCCTGAAATTAACAAGAGCTTAACAACAATAATCTGTGCTGTTCCAAAACAGCTGTCCACAGGGCTCAGTGTTAATAATACTCCAAAACAGATTTGAAATGTACAGGTAGATGGTAATCACATTCTTTTTGAAGTGTTACTGGACAGAGAATGAGGCTTTTCACTCTGCCTACAGTATCATGTTCAGGGGTTTATCAAGTCAGTCAACTCCTGTGCAGATATGCTATATTTGATGTTGTGTCAGTTTTTCTGGTGGTTTTATTAGAAACAGTTGGCACTTAGTTTGTTTAACACGGGGTTACAACAATGTATGATGGATAGAACTGAAAGATTTTTTTAATCTTAGCAATTCCTCTTTGGGAACCAGATGAATATGTTTGTATTTACAAGCTGTAGGTTCTTTCCAAAGTCTTATGCAATTGGCTTTAGTGTCTTTCCAAAAGGCCTCTTTCTGGTAGACTCCTGCAATCTTCTCTCAGCGAGTGAAGTCCAAAAATAGCAAAACTGACCCTCAGCTTGTTAATATTTCATTAATGCAAGTGAAGATTGTTGTTTCAAATGCTTTTTGATCTCAAGCACTAATTAGTCATTAACGTAAAGATCATTTCCATTTCAAATTCTCACCAAGACAACATTTTATCAAATTGCACTAGCGTAAAGAACCCTTGATTTTTGTAAACAGATCATTTTTAATCTTGATAATTTAATTATAGGAAAATGTGTGCACGTAAATGGTTTTGTTCAAAAGCAGTCCAGTGAAGAAAGGCAGCACTGGACTGCTGAGCAGCTGTCTAGCAGATGCTGGGCTCAGTGGCTCAGAGTTGTGCTGTTGCTGTAAAAAATATCTACTATTTTAATAAAAGGAAACCAAATACAAATTAAATGCATATTTTCTTTAAACACCAGGAAGCCTAAGGGTAATAATGTAGTCTAATAAAATGAAAACAGTGTGCCGGTATACTGTATATGGTACATTAAAACTAGATGAAATAATAATAATAATTATTATTATTATTATTATTATTATTATTATTATTATTATTATTATTTTTGGTTGATCTGATAGTTTGGCATTTTGTGCCATACCATAACACATTCCATGTTCCTGGAAACAAAGAAAATGGCAAATCCAGTCAGGTGCAGTAGAACAACACTACATTTCTCAATAAAGTAATATCCTTGACATTGTTAACATTTATTATACATTTTGAAATTACAGGAGATTGTTCAGTTTTATTTCAGTTGTACAAGTAATGCATTTTAGATCAAACATATCATGGGAATCTTCTTTAGATCTTAATCTGGAGTGAAACAAGACCAAAGGTAGCTGTTATACAGTGTGGTAGATAAGATGTTATAATTATGCTATGTTACAAAATGATATATATATTTAAGTGCAGCCTGTCTCCATAAATTGATGATCCAAAATTGTCAGGGGACGCAAGATAACTTAAAGAAACATTTTCTCTCCATTCTAGTTTACCCGTCGCTAGAGTCCGATGAAGATAACCCCGTTTTTAAATCCAGATCGAAGAAAAGGAAAAGTTCCGATGACACTCCCTACAGCCCAACAGGTAGGCCGACGAGCCGAGCGACAGTCGACACAGTTCAAACCTTGTCACGTTAACCCTAGCCAGTTTGCTCTTGGGTTAGATTCTTTGTTTTCCCATGTCTCTTTGGTTTTCACTGGAGGTTTATCGACGAGTGGTATTTAATTTAGTTTTTTTTTTGTTTTTGTTTTTGTTTTTTGGTCGCCCCGCAGCGCGAGTTGGGCCTTCAGTGCCGAGGCAGGACAGGCCGGTTCGCGAGGGGACACGAGTGGCTTCCATAGAAACCGGGCTGGCGGCTGCAGCCGCCAAACTCTCCCAGCAAGTAAGCTCTGCAGCTGGCTCTCTGACGCCATCCCCCCGGCCAGCGCTCACCCCCGCCTCCCGCCTCCCCTCCTCACATCACGTCCAGTGTCACTTTCCTTTTAAACGTACTTGCTTGTGGAGAGCTCTTCTGTCCTCGAGCACAGTGCTTGAACTAGTGGACAGAGAGGCCTTCCAGTCCGAACCAGCGTCTCACTGAAACTCTTCAGGGTGGAAATTAATTTTACTTTATACTGTAGATATTTCAGATTTTTAATTAAGAAGTAGTCTTAGCACTTAACTGAATTAGTGTATGTAAAAACACACACAACATGCTAGAGTAGGGAAGACGCATACTACATACTAGAGTGGTAAAAATACCTACACCTATCAACAAGCAAGACTCATATATCGGTTCCTGGTAATCAAAAATTATTGGCAACTCCTTATTTTAGAAAAACCCCTGCTGTATCATGACATGACCTCCCTGACGTACTGTATGTTTAAGACCACAAATTGAACAAAGATGTCCCGTCTTCTCCCAATGTCTTACAGGAACAACAGAAGACCAAGAAGAAGAAGAGCACTAAAAAGAAGCCTTCATCAGATGATTCAAGTAAAATTTCTCAGGACAGCAGCTCACCGGAGCAGAAGTTGGACTCCCACCCCAGCAGCCTGGCAGATCACGAGTACACAGCTGGGACAGCCAAGACTCCAGGAGGCCCCCAGCCAATGGCCCCAGGAGTATTCCTCACACAGAGGCGGCCCTCTACTTCATCTCAGAACAACGCCTCAGCCAAAGGTAACAGCGGCCAGGCTATTGTATATAGCGCCTTTAAGGAAAGCATCCTTCACAAAGGAGGGGTGTGTCATTTTGCATTATTTTATAATGCATTTCAAAGTAAACATCCTTCGCAAAACACTGCATATTAAAACAGTTAAAATGCTGTTGAAATAAGATATAGAAAAAATAAGACTTTAAATTGTACAAGAACTATACAAGCCTATTGCCTAGGGCCCAACCATAGTCATATAATCAAACACCAATCAATACTGAACATAAAACGTTTTTTAATGGATAAGATTTATTGATATATGGGATGCTCTGTCAATAAGTACTTTTTTTTTTACAGTTTGTACATTTATAAAGGAAATTACTCAAAAATATATATAACCAATACAACTTATCATATGTGCATATAAAGAAAACGTACTGCACAAAAATGACTCATTTTATTTTCAAAGTGGCGTTATTTTCAAAATATGCCATGAATTTTAGCTCTTTAGTTTCTTAGTAATAGTAACAGTGTGCCTGATGTCAGTTCATAAATTCAGCATTAACTGGACACAGCGATGACCTTGCTGTTATTATTTACAATTAAAAATGTTTGTTTGTTTTATTTACAGCCAAACGGCTAAAGAAAGGCATGGCTACTGCCAAACAGAGACTTGGAAAGATTTTAAAGATTCATCGGAATGGAAAACTTCTTCTGTAGCTTCTACAGCTCAAGGCTGGGACTAATTCATGGTATACCAGGCATATTGACCTAATCCTGACACCGTTCCTATTCACTGATTACAGACTTCAACAGCAACCTGAAACATATGAGGAAGAGAACAGGTTTCATTTTTATTTTCAGTTTCTAAGAAAAATATAGATCAGATAGGTTTTTGCCTCTACATATACTTTATAACTTTCAGATATTAAAGTGTACAGGATATGTGCTATAAATATTTTTTAAGAAAACGATGTGCGTCTCATTTTACTGAACTTGTCAGTCTACCAAGGATTGCTATCCAGCATTGCAGATCATTCCAAGATCTAGAAAGTATCCCTTGCGTTCATATTGTCGCATGTTTGTTAAAAAAAAAAATATTGGTGGTTTCTGGAATTCACACACTCTTGGCTTGTCATCATCTTACAGTGTCTTAGAAAATATAGTTTGGTGTTGGGAATGGGGATGTTTAAATTGGTAATGAATGCCCCCCCCTACACACACACAAGCAATTACTGCAGAATCATCCTCTCCTCCTACGTTATTCAACTTGAAAGCATTAAAACGATAATTATTTCTTTTTTACAAAGCACTGTCACTGAGAACATATTGTTATATATATTTAAGATGTACTTATGAGACTAAAAATGCACTTATTTAGATTACTATAAAGCACTAAGGGGAGGAAATTGAGACGCTTTGGCGGTTTGTAAAACAGAGAACGGTTCAGTTCACAAGTGGTCAGTGTCAGTATAGGGTGGCCCTTTAGATAAGATTAGGATGAAATTATTTGTCATGATCATGATGACCATGGTACTCAGGCTAAAACAGCTCAGTAGAGGTTAAGAAACTTTCTGCACAGTTAAGAGTACCTCTTGAGTCATGGAGCCATTAATGATGAACAAGTAAAAATATATATATATATAATTGGTAACTGAGAAGAAAAAATACCATGGAGACCTTTGTAAAAAAACATGGTACAGTAGGCTTTTAATTAACACTCATGTCATTTCTAGGATTAATATGACTCATAAAGCCAAATATCTTTTGTTCTGTAAATATAATATTTTATATTAGCATATTTCAAATACAATCATGAAGAACCTGTAATTCTACAGTAAATATTGTTCGTAAAACTACATAGAGCCCCCAAAACATAGGATGTAGGTTTCCTTTAAAGGAAAATCACAGCAGTTGCTGTGACTATTTAAAACAAGACTTGACAATTGGGCATCTTCATCATCTCTCTCGCAGAAGCAAAAAGAACAGGAAAAAGAAAAACATCAACAGTAACCTAACACAACCACTTATGAATTTGCACAAAAAATAAAACTGACAGCAGGAAAAAAAAAGCCTACCCCAGTCTCACAGTTGTGTGGTTTAATTGATGTGCCATGAGCAGTTGTTAAATAGCAATGTGGCGCTTGATAGAAATGTTAAAAAAGGACTGTGGTGTGATGCTTTAATACTAAAGCAAAGAAGTGAATTATGTTTTTAATAATGTACAATTTTAATAGATGTCAGCTGTGTCTGTATTTCATACTCATTTATAGTGTTGATGTTACACGTTTCCCTTGATGAGGGACTGTTACATGCTTTTTGATATCAGTATTACAGGTAAGTCACCCTTAGAATGGGTGTTAAGAAAGAGCAGATTTGCATATTTTTTATAAATGCTGACAGTATGAGAATTTCCAGAAAATATTTCTCACTATGAAAACACTAGATGCTTGTAAGTTTTTCACTGGGACATAGTTTTACTGACAAGCCTCATTCTGCAGCCTTTGGCTTTTAGTGCTATACAGGGATACTTTCTAATTCAAAAGTTGTTTCTCAGGCAACACCAAAAGTATAGATTTAAATATGCATTTTTATTGCATTGCAGTATGTAGAATGTAGCTTGTAAATAGCTTTTTAAATTACTACTTTTTGTAACAAAAGTTTTCTTTTCTTATTGATACTTCATTCTACATTTTTACAAGTTTTTTGCTATTTAATAACAAAATCTCTATATATATAGTCTTTACTTTTTCAATTTGTTAGCTACACTTTAGGAATATTTTTTTTTTTAGTTTTGTTTTTTAGATTGAGGTGTTGCCTGAAAAACAAAACATGAAACTTAGTATGGCCTTACACACAAAAAAAAACAAGTGTACATATTCACTGATGACAAGAGATGAAGCTTTTGAAGAAAAAAAAATCTGTTTTTACAACCAGCTTCTTGTTCAAGTTCTCGTAACCTGATGGGATTCAAAATTATTTTACTAGCACCTTGTGAAGTGTTTTCTGTGTCCGTGATGTAATTTATTAATGTTTGTAGCTTTTTATATTTGTACATTTCTTAAGAGCTTTGTTTTTAAATATTTTATCAGCCTGTGAAAGTCTTCTTTTAGGAATCTGTAACATTAACTACAATAATGGAGGTCTGAGGCCTTGTTTATTTTTCTCAGGCGCTCGGAAATTGGTTTTAGGACCGAAATACACTCTTCTTTATGTTATTTTTGTTTTGTTTTTAAGGCCCTGCCAGTTATTTTACAGGGCCACAGTTAGAAATGTTCACTTACGACATGTTATTATAATTATGATTATTGTTACTGTTATAATTATTGTTGTTATTATTATTAAGCAGCTATGTGGTATAACCCTGCCATCATGCCTTTTATTTCGGTAAAATGTACATTTCTAACCAGGTTTACTGCGGGTATCTATTGCAGTGTTTTAGTTACCAATGGAAATCTTGTATCAGCTCCTCAGAATTTAAATACACACAGATCAAATTTTAACAATTGAACTATTTCAGGTTTTTTGTACAAAATGTGTGTTGCTTTGTTGTGGTTTATTTTTATATGTTCAATTCATTAAATTTATCCGCTGTATTGTAGCAGTGTAAGATACTGTACCTAACTGTCTTCCCTCACTGTCAAAAAACAATATACCCCTGCCCAGTTAAAAGAAAATACTGTACACACCTCTTCTACTAGATCCTAGAGAAATGGAAACGCACAATGCATAATAGTATGTGTATTATAACCCAGTCAGGAAATATTTTTTACAGGTGGGAAAGACCTGTTTTTCAACATAAGCCCTTAGTTTCCCGTACCAGGCCAGAGTCCCAAAAACATGTGAGAGCTGGAATAATGCCTTGAGATTAAGCCTGTGTGAAGAGAGCACCCCAGGACGGGGGGTTCAGTGGTGACAGTAAGCTCCATGCAGGAACTGTGCAGAGACCAGCTAAGAGCATCTTGCGAACTGGTGATGGAAGCCAATGATTGTGCACAGGGGGCGCCGCTTAAGAGCAAAACCAGTCTTTGCCACCTGTGAAGCTTATTTCCATGGAGAATTTGCTAATTCACTTCCCTAACTGACTTACACTTGGATTCCCAACACAGGCACAACAAACCATGTGACAATTCACACAGTGCTTTACAGCTATCTTTCAACTATGCAAGGAGTACCAGGACTAGCTCAAAAGACAAACTGTACATAATTCACCCTCAGTTTCATGTTCACAGGGAGCTACATTTGGAGTACGGAGAGGTTTTACAGTTTTACAATTGCACTGTTTCAGGGCGAATTCAAATGTCTCTTGAAATGATAGCCTTTATGCTCTACTGAATTAACCTACTGTTAATGCAATATTAGCATAGTGTGATTGTTGGGGATATAATACAAATATAAATTAATCTTAAAAGAAAACGCATACAAGTAAATGTTTGTTGTAGTGCTATAAATCCTCTATGATTGTAGAACTGCAACCACGTTGTGCATCCTCAACTCCAAAGTCATTAAAGCCAGATATTAAGCACAAGTGGGATACATTCTTCCGAACCTTAGCAATTATCAGATTTCATCTGATTTTTAAGACATTGATTGATTGCTTTACTGTCCTAGAGATGCTGTAATCACAAATTTTACTTTTTCTTGAAGTGGATAATTCCAAGAACAACCAGGAGAGTTCCCACGGTCATTCTAAATATAAAGTATAATAATAGTAAATTAATCGGGTATCAGATTTCTCGAATCGGTAAACTCTGGATATGGCACATTTCATAATAAAACATAACTTAATTGATAAAAATGATTTTGCCATTAGCTCTCAGGAAAGAATGCCTGTTGTTTGCGATATTTCTTTGAACATAACAAAAGTTTTTACACCTGGAATCCATAAGAAATACTGTGTTTTAGAAAAGCATATTTTAAGAGTTTGTTAGTTGTTTCCTTTTTATTTCAACATTTTGTAAATTCTTGAGGCATATGCCTGTTTTAAACAATGGCTCTATTCCTCGAAAAAGGTCACAACTATAAACGTCTCAAACTATAGCATTTCATGTTTTCCTGTAATCACCCCAGATGGTACACTAGGGGAAAAAAAAACACAGCATCCAAACATTCAAATTGAAAAGTTTGCCACCTTCTGCGTTTTGTTACATCCTAAGTTAATGTCAGCAAGTAAAAACCAAAAGCTTACTGAGCCCAGTGGAACAGCAGTATCCAGTTTCTTTGTAGTCACCCTTTGGATAGACAACACTCTTCTTTTTGAAGAAAAATGCAGATTGCTTTTGAAATTATATTTTATTTGAAAAGGCATGACAAGGTTCTCAAAGTTATTTAACCACGAGTTGTAATGTAGAGCCCAGCTCAATTCCATCGTGTGAATAATAAACTCCTCAAGTGAGGAATAACTATACTATATACGGAGCATTAAAAACGCCACAAATACAGTTGCTTTTCAGTACGACTCAAGTCTACTTTTCGAACCACTAGGTGGAGCTCGAATCACAAAAAAGGTCCAACTCGTCTTGAGTCCCTCTGTTTCACACTATAATTTAAAAAAAAAAATCGGTCTTTTTAGAAACAGCGTAAAACTTTGACATTTCTTTTTCTAATCCTGGTCCTCTCATGCTATGAATTTGAACAAAAGCCACCAAACTATGGTGATTTTTAATATTTAAACACTGAACGTTCTTGACATGCTCTTCCGCAGCAGAGCAACCAAAAAAAAAAACCCGCAAAATAATGAACCGGCAGTCTTCATTTCTCAACAAACACCGCTTTTATTTTATTCATATTGGATTTGATTTTTTTTTCAGCTAAATGGGAGAGCCAAGCTTTAGTTTCATTTACAAAAAAAAAAGTCTTCGGTTTCATGCTAGTGTAATAAATTTGTCGCATGACAAAATTCTTCAGCAGCTACGAAACACGAAGGCTTAAGCTATCTGCATAACTTTCTCATAACTGGAGATTACCCTTGAAGGTCCATTTAACATTTAACAGAAACACACTTTCAAGGGATTCAGCTATTACCATGCTATTTATCAAGCAGTACAAATCACCACGTTTCATGAAACAGCACTTCTAAAATACACCGGCAAAGAATTTAATTTTGTTTTGTTTTTCATCCAATAAATTCTGAGTTAATGAGAAGGTCTGTTATTTCAGAACTGCTCCTTTAAAATATGGGGTTATTAAAATTAAAGTATTTGTTTGTTTTACTGTTTTTCCTAATTAAAGCGGCTTGGCTGAATGTGCTTCTTTTTTCATACGAGTGATGGCTGACTGCTGTTGCCCATCATGGATACAGAAGAATTCCTGGAAATGACTGGCATTCCTGGCCACCCTGGATGATAGGATACTAGCCTAAATGATGGATACCAGCATAGTGACATGCACTGCAGCTGGGTTACTGTGCAGCTGGCTATTAAAGAGCACATTAAAATGGGAAAGTTTAAAAAAAAAGCCAGAAACGCGCATTACTGTTTCAAAGACGTTTTTAATTCTGCGCATTTAAAACGAAGATCCCCATAACACTTCACTTTCGCGTAACGTTTTAGGGAAAAAAAAACCTCTTTTAAATTTATTCTACCGATTTAAAATACACCAAGTGTTTGCTTAATTAATTTTCTCCCCCGTTTATCTGGACTTAATGGGAAAATGTATTGAACAATGTATTGATTACAAAGGAACTGAATAGTTTTTTTTATTATTAGTAGCAATAGGGCTAACTGTAATCAGAATGACACGAGACACTTGTACATTTAGGATTAAGAGAGGTTATGACATTTAATTTTGACTTTAAGGCATTAAATGAGAGCTCCCTCGTCTGCTTTAAGAACTGCAGGGAATTAATAGATGGAATGACAATGTAGATTACTAGTATTAGAATTTTTACAAATGTTTCATGTGTCCTTTTGGTGTAATGGCAGCATTTTATGGGTCATCTAGATGGAATAAAACATAGGTATTTCACCATGCCTCCAACTTAATTTACCAATTTTGGTTTAGCTTGGTCTAACTGTAGTTAATTGACAATTTTTTCTTCCACGTTTATTAAACTCCCTTGTACTTCCTACCAAGTGGTAGTTAAAATAACCAGTGAATGAATTGTATCAGGACAGACTATGAAAAATGTTTTCAGCAGCTCATTGCATTATATAGTTCAGGTGGGTAGCTGCGTCAGCATGCGTAGGCTGCAAAGGAACATGTAATAGGTTTATTCCATGCTGAAAAGAGAAGAAAGAAAACACGTTTCATTTTCTTTCTTCTCTTTTCAGCATGGAATAAACCTATTGTTCCACTGGATTATTTCTATGCATGCAAATGTCTTTAATAATACTGATCACTGAGGTCCTCTCGCTGAAAAGGAAACAGTTTTCATCCACATATATGTACAACTGCATTAATTGCTATTTCATAATTTATTTCCTTTAAGGACAAGCATGTATTTTGCTTATAATAGCAACTGGAAACACTCTGCTGTAAACCTCCAGATTTCCAAATACAGACTGCTTTAACTTCCATAAGAGAGTAATTATTGAAAGAATTCTATGCACTGAGGTGGTCAACTGTTATGTAAAAAAAGGATAAAAAAATAGCTTGATCTGGTTCTCCACCAATCGGCACCCCTCAGCCAGTGACATTTGGCACAGTCCCACATAAATCTCTCAGGCATCACATCCATCCCGAATCAATTAAGGTTCCAAAAAAAATGTTTGTTATTGTTTCAAACAATGGCACAGTGCCACTGTGACATAAAAATGATGTTATTTCCATTAACATCTGACTTGGATCTGCTACAGAAAGAAAATAGCAGAATTCACAACATAACAGTAAACATACTGTAGATCCTTCCAGTACTCATAATATTATTATGTCTTTCTGCTAAATCCTTTAGAAAGCATATTAATTATCTTTATTGTAAAGATCTGTCCAGTAAAATAAAGCACATGGTTATAACACAGCCAATATATCAGGCACAAGTTGCTCATAACTTCAAGTTGTTTGCTTTTGCCGAGCAGTATTTACCAAACATTGCTTTTGTAATAATTTATATCAATCAAGATCCTATTTAGATCTTGTATTTATTTAGCAGACATATAAAGTTTTTTTTATTGTCGTAAAGTGACTTGTAAACAGGTGAGACATTTATTTTTATTCTGGGGAGATGATGGGAGACATTTAATGTTTCCTGACCCCTTTGCACTGCATTCATGTCTTATTCAATGAAGAAGTTGACCATAACTTAAAATGTATTTTAAAAATGAAAATCCAACTTACTTATTACTTATATATATGTAAAATAAAACTTATTTAAAATAAATATGAGGTAAAAGTACAAGAAGGTAGATACTAGACAGTAAGGCTCAGTAGGGCGTTTGTTTGGCCAGCTGGGTCAGTGTTTCAGGTCTGCATGCCAGTCCTGTCAGATCTAGGCTTTTGGTCACCACAAGGTGAACACTGCACGCTTGTAACCTTTGAACCTTCTCTTGCTTTCAACATGGGGTATAGGACTATGAAATGAAAATATACTAACTAGGCTATATATATAGTTTAAAGTACAGTAGTTCAGGTGGGTAGTTGTGTCAGCATGCGTAAGCTGCAAAG